CTGCTGTGGAGGGAAGGGGGGAGGAACAGGAAGTGTGGGCCACCAGTGCCCTGGTGAGCGAGAGGTGCGTGGGGGAGGAGTGCAGCCTGGGGGTCCACGGGCTGCAGGTGGAGCCCCAGGAAGCTGCATGTGGATCACGGGCCGCAGGTTGCCCTCCATCAGTGTAAGTCAAGGTATCCCAGAGTTTTGGATGGATGTCATTTGGTATAAAGGCTCTTTAGACCACAGTGCACGAACACATAAAATAAAGCTTATTTGTTTTAAAACAAGGCTTTGCTTGCTGTTTTCTAACAAGTCCACATTCTCTTTGATTTGATCCTTAAAGCTGTGAAAATATTGTGTCATTTAATAAAAAAATACTTGAAATACAAACATGCAGGCACTATTCACAAATATTAAAGATGGCTTTTTATGCAAAATAAGTCACATTTTGATATTTTAGTGCAAAGATGGTTGTTTCACTGCAACTGCAAATAGGGAGAAAATGTGTGTGTGGTGATAAACAACTAAAAAGCAAACATTCCAAAAGGAAATTCTATAAAACATAGCTGTAATTTTTCCAGAGCTGCTTTTTTTGATCATATATGGAAATCCTCATGTGATAATTTCAACATTAGTGAGATATAAGATAGATAGGCCAAAGTAGCAGAGCTAAAAGCTGGAGCCAAAATTCAATTGGGAGAGATTTTGATTTAAGGCATATGATCTTTCAGCAATGACTACAATATAGATCTTTTTAATATAAAATGTCAGGTAAAGAAAGAATCCAGAGAGATTGTTTCTGATGCATCAGGATTTCTAAGCAAAAGCTGCACCAGCTCAGACAAAGATAACCTAGGGAATTCCTTTTTTATTGAAGGACAATGAAGCGCTACTTTATTTGTCAAGGTGGATCAGAATTATATTAGGCAACATATCTAAAAAAAAATCCTATCTTTAAATTTTAACTTAAAGAAAAAATATAAAGTAGCATTCCTCCTAAAACTTAAAGAAACAAGGTACCTTCCTTTGTTAATTACATTCCTCCACACAAAGTAACTCTTGTGTCTTCCTATTAACTTCATACCTAATCTCCAAGCACCAGTGAACCCAGCCATTCATTGGGAACAATAGTACATACAGTTTAATCTTTCACTGATGGTTTCTATTTTCACTGGACCGAGGCCAGACTCAAACTATTTGGGGGGAAAAGTCACAGACACACACAAGTCACTATTTATTGTGAGTCCCAATATAATGACATCTGATACAAGGCAAGATGGAGAGAAATCCGAGCATTTACTGTACAAGCATGGGAATTCACAAAAGTAAGAAGTTAAAGGGGAGGATAAGAGGGGTGTGGGAAGAAAAAAAAAGTTTAGCTTCAGACTAACTGGTTCCTGTTTTTTTCTGCCGGTGAATGCACTCTTGTTGCTGTGCTCATAGAACTGTGCAGGTCAGATAGTCTTGTGTGTAAAAATCACACCCATTTTTAAACTAGCTACTTCCAGAAAGAGGAACTTTTATCAGCAGAACTGATCAACTAAGGTGAGCAGTTTTCAATATTTATGTATTTATTTAGTAGTGAATCTATGTTATCTAGAATGTATATAACTATCTATAATGATGGGTAGAAGGATAAGAAAGGTTAACTGGCAAAAAAAATCGTCTAAAGGGAATATGTAACTGAAGAGTGAGGCTGATTTCACAGGTGTCTCCTATAACGAATGCATCATTTAAACCAGCATATTGGCATTGGATCTTATACTAGCAAAAATGGACTTTTAAGGCTGCATCCATCAACAATGGTGGCAATTATCTTTAATAGAAGTCATCCTATGTATTCTTTATGATAATTTTCTGAAAAGGGTTATTTAAGTGTAAGAAAACTATTGCTGCTGGCCTTAAGCTAAAAAACTGTTTTCATTTCCTGAGACTGAAGAAGATATTCTTCTTGATTGTAAGAAGCGTCTGATTTATCTAAAAGGAAATGACTGATTTGCACATTTCATAGCCGTTCTATAGTCAGAACTCTGAGGCTATTTCACCAAGCCATAACCATTAATGTGTTCTCAGTACTTTGAAAATATAAAATAAAATATAAGTGACAAAACAATCAAAGATTAATACGAAAATCTATATAATGCTAAAGATTATTAACCCCCATATGCAATGGCTACAGTGAATATTTTTGTTTTGTTTGTTTGTATGCTGTAGATAATAGACCTACCCTTCTAATGACCATGGAGTAGTAATTTGCACAGCCCCTGAAGAGAATTTGGGATTGATTTTCTGTTCTCCCAAATTTTTCAGTCCCTGGGTTAAAACAACAGCCTTAGTCCCTCTTTGTGGAGCAGTGGGAAACCTCCTATTATTCAGCACTCAACTTGGAGCTCTTTAACAAGCTAAGGAGCTCCCAAGGAGTTAGAAACAATTCTTGAGTGGAGGAAGGAAGTCTGATACACATAACACTGAAGGCAGGAGATGTAAAACAAAGAAAAAATTATAGGATTTTTGAAACCCTGAAAAAGCAAAGCAAGCCACTAGAGATCAGGGTTGGGAGGGAAAATATGAGTGACTTTATTGATTGGTTTAGAAGCCTAGAGGAGTCTCTTAATAGTTATGAAATCCTTAGGAGGATAGCACTTCCAAGGAATTTGTTGTTGTTGTTCTAAGCAGCAAACTCTACTGTGGCTCCTTTGAAGAGAGTCTATTTTTGTGTTGAGACTGATAGAAGTAGGAGAACAAGTACTGCAATACACCTGCCAGAACTAAAGTTGGTAACAGCGATGCATGTGGCACTGAGGGGCTTGTGTGTAGTCGGTGTAAACCCCCCAACATTTTTCATGACTGCCCACCCTGAATGTTATTACCCTGATGACATTCAGTCATGGTTGGTTCTGGTGAAATTCTACAAAGGATGTAGCTACTGAGATCAAATTTAAGGTATTCTCTATCACAACAGGCTTAATCCTGACTTGGTTAGATTTTTATAATTTTTAAATTAGAGGCCTCTCTCCCAGACTTCAGGTCCAGAAGGGACCATCATCTGTGCTAACCTCCTGCACATTGCAAGCCATAGAATCTTGCCAATCATGATTTAAAGAGTTCGAGAATTCACCTTTAACACTAGTTTGAACCAGCAAGTGACTCAGCCCCATGCTCACCACGGCAGCAGGAGTGGAGCCACCCTGCAGATTCTTCTGCTCTGCTCCCTCCTGCCACAGTGGGAAGCGGAGCGCCCCAGTCCCAGGGCATTTCACTTCCTGCCACTGCAGAGAAGTGGGGCACAGCAGGTGGAGCAGAATAGGCTGCTGAGCCATACTGGTTCCTGCTGCCATGGTGAGTGCAGGGAGAGTGACTTCTGCTGCCGCCCCATGCCAGGCCTCCCGGTAACCTCCTGGCTCATGTTGCTTCGGGGAGGCATCAATAAGGAGGCAGAACAGGGGCAGGGCTTGGGGAAAGGGATGGAGCATGGGTAGGGCAGAGGTGGAGCAGAGATGGGGCATGGCAGGACGTTTGGTGATGGGTTGTCCTGGGCTCTATGCTTAGGGCACTGGATGGAAGCGGGGAGGTTTCCCAGATCCTCTACCTCCCTAGAGATGGCCCTGGTTAGACCCTTAGCATGTGGGCATGACCCAAAAGCCAAACACATGCTAAAGAATTATCTGTAGTATCTCAGAGACCTCCTCATCTTCATTCCATTCCTGGCCTTTTGAGATATTTGCTACCAGCAGTCACATATCAGCTTCATGCCACTGTAGGCAGTCTCATTATACAATCCCTTTCATAAATGTATCAAGCTCAGCGTAGAAGCCAGTTAGGATTTTTGCCCCCACTGTTCCCTTTGGAAGTCTGTTCCAGAACTTCACTCCTCTGATGGCTAGAAACCTTTGTGCAATTTCAATCCTAAACTTATTGATGACCACTTTTTATCCCAGACTTCATGTATCAATACTGCATGAGGAGGAGTTATCCCTCCGATGTATTTATAATGGGCAGTTTTAGTTTATTATTATTATTTTTGACAGAGTGTGTCACTATGCATGAAGTGCTGCCACTAAAATTAGCATCACAAGTGATAATGAACTGATACAGAGACTTAATTTTCTGTTCTGAAGCATGCAGTCACACAGAGTATACTTTTCCAATGACATTCAAACAATACATGGGAGCTTTGGAGCTGCAATGCATAGCAGTGACTGGACCAGACCAGAAAGGCAAAAGCAGCATTAAAAAAAAATTCTTACTAGGTTCAAAAGTTTTTTATTTTAAACAAAAATTCCTGTTTGCACACCTTATGCACTTCACACTTCTAATCAGATGCAGAAATCATGATGTTTCATGAGTGGATATTCTCAAATGACTTTTGCCATGAACAAAACCAAGAACACCTAGAATACCGACGACATATCCATTATATTTTCTGAGTTAGGATAGAGATTTTGGACAAAGATCAGACAGATGTTCAAATTTTCAATTTTTTTTTTAGTGGAAGAGGATATTTTTATTATTAAAACAAATTTTAAATGCAGTTTTACATTTCTGTGGGTTTTGCTTTATAATTTTAAATTGCAAAAATATTTGTCTCTTTTCTGGGAAATCCCTTTCTGATGTTTTTCCAATGTGTCTTCTTATATCAGATTCTCCCAGAAGACAAGCTTTTTGTAATTTCAGCTAATTTTTTAATCTCTTGTCAATAGAAATGTTCCTATGTCATTAGTTTGTATTATTAATAATGATAATAATAATAACAACAACAGTACAGTATGGGGAAATGAAAAACAACCCCAGAATCATTGTTCTGTCATGTTTGCAACTCAATAATTAGATTATTATACTAGGGCATGATGACTGAAAAGTGAAATTGACTAGAAATGAAAGTGAAACAGCTTCAATTTTCACTGTTCAAAGCTATAGTACAGGTTGAAACTCTCTAGTCCAAGACCCTCTGGACCTGACCACTGCCAAGCCAGAGGATTTTCCGAACCACAGGAGGTCAGTATTATCTAGACTCTAGCAGCATTACCAACAATTCCACTGCTTATTGGGCTCTTAGGAGACATTTAGGAAATAAATCAGATCCAAAGGTGAAAGCAAGCGGGTATTCCCTGGTACACAGCTCTGGCAAGAGCTGGCTGAGCTATGGCAAAAGCCAGCAGGGAGCTATTTAAAGAGCGGGCAGGGACCCAGGTTGCAATAGGACAGTCCCTGTAAGAAATTTTAAGTTACTTTCACCACTGATCAGAGCTAAATAACAGTGCAGAACACTGAGATCCAGGACTGATGGCTGTAAATAAACTTTATGGGACTACGGGACACTTGTCACACACGTAATAAATGGACATCCAGCTAACTAAAATCATGCCAGACCATGGGTGGTGCTGGACCAGAGTGTGCTGGACTAGAGAGGTTCAACCTGTAGTGACTATATTTTTCTCCAGGTATATTTCTGACAACTTTGCAGTATGCTTAAATACCTACAATCAGGCACCTGGACTCTGGACTATTGTCATCGAGCAAGTCCATTGTTTCCAGAACAAAGAAAACAGTCCTGGGGGGTGTAGATTATTAGAAGGCTATTAAATCATCTTTCAGCTGGCAACTTGTAATGAACCACCCAACTAACAAGGTTGCTTTGTCTTCCAGTTTCACAGCTGCATTGAAAGGTGCTTTCTTTTTAAAAAATGGTTCATTCAGCATTGGCTTTGACACTCCTGCTAATCGCAGTCTCTTCCAACCTTGCAATGGCAATCAAAAAGGAAAAAAGAGCTCCCCAGACTCTGTCAAGAGGTGCAGTATGACTTTATTTAATGTGTTTAGTTAAAATAAAATGTAGCTACATGATTCAATTCAATATTTTATATTTCAAGATGTTTGATAGCATACAATATTTATTTTAAGTGTGCTTTTTTCCTCTGAAGAGGACTATATAAAAAGAGCCCTTTGTTATTGAATAGATCTACCCCAGTGTACATTTACTCCTATCAGTTTTCTTTCCCACCTCTTACCCTTATTGATTTTTTCCTTTAAGCACTGCAAAACCAACAGAGCTAAGAGTGAGTAGGGTTCTGTTTCTTCTTGTGCAATGAAATAATGCACACCATTTCAATTAGCTATGCCTTTGCAAACCTAACAGAGCAAAGGAATTGTACAGATATTAATGAAGGCCTCTATCATCAGTAGGCGGCTACTGTGGGAATTACAGTAAAACTCTGGTGGTCCGACATCCAGTGGTCCGGTACGCCTGATGGTCCGGCACCAACTGCAACCCGGAAGTGCTCCGGCAGCTGCTTCAAGTTGTTAGAGTAATTGATTAACTGCGGCTGGATCCACAGCCGACACGCAGTTAATGTAACTTTCCTCTCTACTGCAGGGAGGGGGGGGCCAGAGGAAGGGAGGGGTCGGTGGGAGAAGGGGAAGAAGAGGGGGATGATAACAGGGATGAAGCAGCACTGGTTTCATCGGATGATGAGTAATTGTGCAGCATGGCAAAATAAAGTTACAGATTTAAGTTTCAGGGGTTTGTTAAAATTTGCATTTTTTAGTGTTTAAGTGAATAATTAACAGACTGTGTATATATATCAGCAGTGTATATATCCGCACACCCCCACCCCACCGACCCCTACCTTCCCCTGCCCCCCTCCTCCCGGCAGTAGAGAGGAAAATTACATTAACTGCGTGTCGGCTGTGGATCCAGCCAGAGTGACTGTAACTGACCAGAACGTCCTGAATGCGGCTGCCTGCCTGTCACCGCCTCTCCTCTTCCGCTCGCAGGCTCTGCCTCCCTGCAGCAGGAGGGAGGGTTTGGCACACCTCCACCCCCTCCTCCGCTTCTCCTTCGACGAGACCCGCCCCTGCCAGAGTACCTCCTGATAGTCCGGCATTTCTGATAATCCGGCACCACCTGGGTCCCAAGGGTGCCGGATTATCGGAAGTCTACTGTAGTTCCATTCTGGTCTGACGTGCTTTTCTTCAACATAAAGTCTCTCTCTGAAACTCAAGATGTTCCTTCTTTGTTACTTAGTCCTCCAGCCAGGTCACTGCAGAGTCCTCCCATTCCAGGGAGTCAGAGTCCTATTGGGCATCTGTCTCAGGCAGTCTTTGGCTCCACTGTCCAGTCTATGGGTCTGGCTTTACTCCAGGTTCCAGATCAGGCACCTTATGCTTGCACCCAAGCCCCGGTGCTGTTTCCCTGGCCTCCTTCCTACTTCTTTGTTCTCATCTCTTAGCCTCCTTGCTTTGGGCATGTCTACACATCAGGGCTAAAGTCGAAATAAGCTACTCAACTTGAGCTACGTCAATTGTATACCTTAAGTCGAAATAGCTTATTTTGGCTTTTGGCACAGTCTACACAGCAGGAAGTGTGAGGTAATGCTCTCTTCCTCTGACTTCCCTTACTCCTTGTAAAATAAGGGTTACAGGAGCTGGAGTAAGAAGCTTTATATCTTTTTGACATTATGTCGAAATACCTGCTTGTAGTGTAAACGCGGACTATGTTATTTCGGAGTAACATCAGTTATTCTGAAATAACACTGCTGTGTAAACGTATCTTTTGTATCAGAGGGGTAGCCGTATGAGTCTGGATCTGCAAAAGTGACAAGGAGTCCTGTGGCACCTTATAGACTAACAGATGTATTGGAGCATAAGCTTTCGTGGGCAAAGACCCACTTCGTCAGATGCATGTAGTAGAAATTTCCAGAGGCAGGTATAACTATGCAGGCCAGAAAAAGGCTAGAGGTAACAAGGTTAATTCAGTCAGGGAGGGTGAGGGCCACTTCTAGCAGCTGATCTGGAGGTGTGAACACTAAGGGTGTGTCTAGACTACAGGGTTTTGTTGACAAAACTATACCTGAGTCTACACTACCGCCAAGTTCTGTCGACATAACGTTGACAGAACTCGGCAGTTTTGTCGATGGCGGTAAACTTTCTACGAGGAATTGCGCCTTTTGTCAACAGAGTTCTGTCGACAGAAGGTGTTATTGTATCTACACTCTCATGTCGACAAAGCGGCTTGCTTTGTCAACAGAACTGGATGTAGTCTAGACACTCTTTGTTGACAGAGGCAGTATCTGTCGACAAAGCCTCTGTCGACAAAAGCCTGTAGTCTAGATGTACCTCAAGAGAGGATAAACTGCTTTTGTAGTTGGCTAGCCATTCACAGTTTTTGTTTAATCCTAAGCTGATGGTGCGAAATTTGCAGATGAACTGTAGCTCAGCAGATTCTCTTTGAAGTCTGGTCTTGAAGTTTTTTGTTGCAGGATGGCTATCTTTAAATCTGCTCCTGTGTGTCCAGGGAGATTGAAGTGTTCTCCTACAGGTTTTTGTATATTGCCTTTCCTGATATCTGATTTGTGTCTGTTTATTCTTTTATGTAGGGACTGTCCAGTTTGGCCGATGTATATAGCAGAGGGGCATTGCTGGCACATGATGGCGTATATTACATTGGTAGATGTGCAGGTGAATGAACCAGTGATGTTGTGGCTGATCTGGTTAGGTCCTGTGATGGTGTCGCTGGTGTAGATATGTGGGCAGAGTTGGCACCAAGGATTGTTGCATGGATTGGTTCCTGAGTTAGAGTTACTGTGGTACCCTTTGTAATTTATCAACCCAAACTACCTTCTCCCAGGGAGGTACTACAGACTACTTCCCCTGCAGCAAATTCCTGGCTTTATACCAGCCCTGTCTTTTCCTTCTCATCTGGGTTCCAGCTTCAGTTACAAGTGGATTGTGCCCACGAAAGCTCATGATACCATCTAACATGGGTATGTTTTGTTAGTCTATAAAGTACTGCCAGACCATTTGTTGTTTTTTTTCTGTACAGACTAACTCAGCTGCCCCCTGAAGCTTCTGATACGAATAGACAGGGATGTACAAATATCCCAACTCAACACATTTGACTCCCCCCACCCAGTACCATTTTTGCTTAATCATTTTTCAGAGCAGAAGCACATTTTGAGACTGACCAATGAGAATGCTCACATCTCTATCACCTGTTCCTGGGCTGTTCATTTTCACATGTTGAAGAAATTTTCAACTTTACTGTTAATTACAGTATTTAATTTTAATGTCATTATTTTCTCTCTGCTAATTCCCTTAAGAATATGGGTATAGGAGTAGCTAAGGTCCTCACCACGTCTCTATCTCCATTTGTGGAATTTAAATAAGATGACTTGCATTGCATAGTCTCCATCTACCTCCCCTACCTCTCCCAATAATGTACCATTTAAGAACTCAGCAGTCCTCAACTACCCAACACTTAACCTTGGCAAAATAACATTGCTGAGGAGTCTAAACCTACTAAACAAAAACTCACACATTAGGGACCTGTGAAAGCACATGAATCAATTGGACAATACTCTCCTCAAGTAGGGTTGCCAACTTTCTAATTGCACAAAACCAAACACCCGTGCCCCAGCCACCTCTCCCACCTTTTCCCTGAGGCCCCACCCCAGTCTCACTCCTTGTCTGAGGTTCCACCGCCCACTCATTCCAGTCCCCTCCATCGCTAGCTTGCTCTCTGCCACTCTCACTCACCTTTATTAGAGTGTAGGAGGGGGTGAGGGCTTTTGCTGGAGGTGCAGGCTCCAGAGTGGAGCCAAAAATGAGGGCCATGGTGTAGAAGAAGGCTTTGGGTTGCGCAGGGGTTGGGCTGTGGGGGGTGGGTGAGGACTCTGGCTGGGGTCTGAGTGAAAGTTAGTATGTGGGAGTGGATTCCAACTTGTGGCAGGGTATTCTGGGTATGGGCTCTGGCCATGCAGTGCTTACCTCAGGCAGCTCCTGGTTAGCAACACAGAGGGGCAGGCTCCCTGGCTGCTCCTGGAAGTGGACAGCATGTTCCCCTAGTCCCTAAGCAAAGTCATGGCCAGCCCTAAAAGTCTGGTTGGCTTTTACATCCTGTGTGCTGCCTGTTCCAACAAGTCTTACCCCTGCAGTTCCCATCGGCTGTAGTTCCCAGCCAATCAGAACTGAGGAGCTGGCATTCAGGGTGACATAGAACCTCCCTGACTGCCCTTGCACCTAGGGCTGAAAGGACATGCTGGCCATTTCTGGGAGCTGCACAGAATCAGGGCAGAAAGGGAGACTGCCTTAGCCCCACTGCACTGCCAACCAAACTTTTAGGCAGTGCTGACCAGAGCCATCAGGGTCCCTTTTTGACTGGATGTTTGGTAAAAAACCAGATGCCTGGCAATCCTATCCTCAAGGCCAGGAAATGACAGAGATTGAGTGGAGAGGCTGGTGATTCACCTGGAAATATTTTAATATTAATTTCTGTTAAAGACTGCATGTATAGACACAGTGTTGCAATCGCCTAATGTTCAAAAATAATGATTCAGGCTCCCACAAAATATCAGATTAGATTAAATATTATGAGTCTTTTTTTAATATTGATTTTTAAATTATTTTTGTTTTCAGATATCTGAAATTCTTAGGGATTGTGTTTTCAAATTTTTCTCCACAACTATGAGAACTGGGAACTCTTTTTTCATCCTACTTTTACTCTTTGACTTCAGGTTCTGCATCAAATGCAGATCAGCCAGATTCAAGGATTTGGGGACAGATGAGTGGAATTTACAAAGTGCTTAAATTTGGCAACTATCCTGCCCACATTCTTTTGAATTCATGGTACCTATCTGCCTCTTTAGAAACCTGAAGACCTTTGTAAACCTGTTATGGTATTTTGTGCCTAAATTTACGAATGTGTAACATGAGTATAATACTCCAAAGTTGAGATACTGAATAGCTATATGGAGTTTTGAAAGCACTGGATAAAGAAAATCCCATCTCTGTGCATGATATTAATAAATGACCAGAACATATTTTTTTTCCAAGACACTTTTGGGTGGTTAATCCCTCCATTGTGATTCCAGGCTGGGGAGATGATATTACTTGGGTGCAGACCTATGAAGAAGGGCTTTTTCAAGCAAGACAAAGGTAAAGAAATCTTTGAAAAGAACATTTAAAAAAAGTTAATGTTGTCAAGTTTGGTGAAGTATTTAGCCGAAATGTTGTAAAGCAACAAAGTAAAATGAAAACTCTAATTCTAGCTAATCTAGAAAGCATCTTGTTAACAAAACAAAAAATTAATGTATAAATAAAAGCAACATCTTTTTGGTAATCATTCTGAGTACATCTATACTGCATCCCTAGTTCGGACTAAGGATGCAAATGGAGACGACCGAAGTAGTTAATGAAGCGGGGATTTAAATATCCCGCGTTTCATTAACATGATCTCGCCGGCACGCTAGTTTGAATCACAGCTGATTCGAACCAGGAAGTGCGCACCGGGACGTGTTAGTTCCAACTGAAGCCCTTAGTCCGAACTAATGTTACTCCTCAAAAAATGAGGAGTAACGTTAGTTCTGACTAAGGGCTTTAGTCTGAACTAACACGTCCCTTCGCACACTTCCTGGTTCGAATCAGCTGTGATTCAAACTAGCGTGCCGGCGAGATCATGTTAATGAAACGCGGGATATTTAAATCCCCGCTTCATTAACTATTTCGGACATCTCCATTTGCATTCCTAGCCCAAACTAGGGATGCAGTGTAGATGTACCCTCTCTGACTTACTGCAGCAAACACCATTAGACAAGATGTTGACATTTGTGCATGTGCTATGGAATAGAAAATTGTCATAGAATAAATGTGTATTATTAGAAAGTAAACAGATTTGTTTTCATGATGATGTTTATCTCTAATTAATTCCTCAGCTTCACCAAAATAGCATGAGACAATAACAGAACATCATGCAACATTTTATTGCATTGACTGATATCTCAATGCTTTTCCCTTTGGCTTACAGCATTAAATATATGGGCTGTTCCTCTCTGTTCAAAACTAGTCCAGAATGAGTTCTTGAATAAGGATCACTTTTGAGATTAGCTGGCAGTACACATGAGAATTCCTATACACCTCATAACTTTCCAAAATGCTCTTGCAAACCCACTTCTTTCTATAGCAAGAAAACACAGTTCCCAGTCAGCTTACCAAAGAAAATACAATTAATCTGATGCATAGCTTGTGAAAGCCAGGAGGAAAATCCTACCGAGTGCTAGGGATGTAAATGGATAACCATTTAACCAGTTAACTGATAAGCATCAGCTTATCAGTTTCCATTACAGTTACACACTGGCTCCCCAAGAGCCAGCTTCTCTGTGTACTGCAGAGTTCATGGTGCATGTATCTACTAGGACAGGGGTGGGCAATAATTTAAGACAGAGATCCACTTCACTAATTTTTTAAATGGCCACGGGATGCCCCGGAAGGAGTGGGGCCTCGGGCAGAAGGGACGGGGCCAGGACACTTCTGTGTTCCCCTGCCACAGAACCTGATTAGCTTGGGGAGGGGGGAAGCATGTGAAGTCTTTGCTCCCACCCATCCCCCGCTTAGAGAGAACTGCCAGCTGTTCTGAACAGCTGGCGGTTCCCTCTAGGCACCCACACCCTTGACGACGGGAAGAGACTTTGAGAATTCCCCTCACCTCTAGATGAATCAGGGCCAGGGGGCGGGAGGAACACGTGAATTCTCCTGCTCCCTGCTCCCAATCTGCAAGGTGCGCGCAGCGCTTAGACTGGGCCACCAGCTGGCAGTTCATGCTAAGTGCTGCGCACCCCTTGTAGAGCAGGAAGAGACTTTGCGTGCTCCCTGCTCCCACCCTGCAAGGGGCATTCAGAACTTAGAGTGGACCGTCAGCTGGAGCCACATCCCCTTGCAGGGCAGGAAGAGACTTTGCATGCTCCTCCTGCCCCCAGCTAATCAGGGCCTGGGAGTGGGGGGAGTGCACAAAGTCTCTTGCTCCCTGCCCCATACCTCTTGCAAGGGTGGGAGCGGGGAGTGAGAGACTTTTGCATGCTCTCCCTGCCCCCAGGCCCTGATTGGCCTGGAGGTGGCGGAGCGGCAGGGCGTCTGCAGGCTGGATCCACCCGCTTGGCGGGCTGGATCAAACCCACAGAAGTGCCTTTGTCCACTCCATACTAGGATGTTTAGTAGTTACATGGTTACATTAATAAATATCTTTTTACATCCCTAATGAGTGCTGTTTACTACAATTGCAAAACACATAGTAATAAGAGCTGCGCTGAGCACTAGAACTAGTCGAAAAAAGATTCAAAATTTGTCTCACTAAATTTGGTTTTTTTAATTATTTTTCTCCAAAATGTTGAAAGGGATCTAATTTTTAAAGTTTCATGAATAATTCCACAGCTGCTCATTCCCCCAACCCTCAATTTTTCAATGAAACTTTTCATAGATAGTTTTCAAGGGTGGGATAGTTTAATCAAAAATAGATTTTTTTCTGATGAAAAAAATCTAGTAAAAAACCAGATCCAGGAAATTTTGACTAGCTCTACTCTGTAGTAAGTGTCCACAGCATTGTGCTTCCAGAGTGGAAAATCCTTCATGGAACTATGCACTAAGCAATAATAAAATGATGACACTCTGCAGTCTCCAAGTTGAGCACCTCTTAGTTTAGAGTATATCTTGCTGCTCCATTTTGTTGAGTTCCTTTTTGTGAAGGAGTTACATGATGCTCTTATCCCTAGGCTCAGAAGTAAGCTCCGCGCTTCCCAATGCCTCGGTCTAGTTATTAGTTTAGTGCAACATAAGATACAATGGCAGTTATATATCCAGGGCAATTTATAAAATTAGAGTCACTTGGATAAGCAGAGCATCTAATTATGTATATTTTTATTGTTAAAGTAACAAACCACTGATGGTCATTCATCATCTGGAGGACTGTCAATACTGCCAAGGTAATTTCAATTGTCTGATTGTTAAATTAATTTGGGTGATTTATAGATTATTTATCTGCCAATATCTACATTAACAAGGAATCCTGTGGCATCTTAAAGACTAAGGGTATGTCTACACTACCCCACTAGTTCGAACTAGCGGGGGTAATGTAGTCATCCACAATTGCAAATGAAGCCCGGGATTTGAATTTCCCGGGCTTCATTTGCATAAAGCCAGCCGGCGCCATTTTTAAATGCCGGCTAGTTCGAACCCCGTGCCGCGCAGCTACACGCGGCACGGAGTAGCTAGTTCGGATTAGGCTTCCTAATCCGAACTAGCTGTACTCCTCATTCCACAAGGAGCATCAAACTTTTGTGGGCAAAGACCCACTTCATCATATACATCTGACAAAGCGGGTCTTTGTCCACAAACACTTATGCCCAAATAAATCTGTCAGTCTTTAAGATGCGACAGGACTCCTCATTGTTTTTGCCAATGAAGGCTAGCACGGCTACCCCTCTAATGCTAATATTGTTATATAGTCCCAGACTATATTTATCTGTAACACTGAATCACTTTCTTAGCAGGATTGCATATCAATAGAAAGTATCTCAAAAAATAAAACAATGTAAACCAGCTGCTTACAAATCCCACTGAATGCCTTTTACTACAGAGAACATGAAAAAAAATAGCCTACAAAGCTGTTCTGCAAAGCTTGATGCAGCATTAGAGAGTTTAAGATGCATGAATTTACTCCTGACTCATTGAACAGATTTAATATTGTTCTATCCTCCTGATCTGGTAACCAGAGAAGGAGACGGGGGCACGACTGCTGAAATTGACCTAAGAAGAATTTACCAAGAATAATACACTTTTGTCAAGCTGTGGCTAGATACCCATTGAAACTAAAGGCTTCAGAACCAACAGATTTTGGAAACGGTGATTGCAAGCAATGTTTAAAACCATCACATCTTTTCTAGCACTGAAGAAGGTTTTTGCAGAAAATGAGGAAATACAAGAAATGGCTCAAAATAACTTCATCATGTTAAATCTCATGGTAAGGAGAAATATGCTGCGTATTTTAAACTGATGTATTTCAGCATAAATTGTCACTTTAGCATTCTCTACTATGGTTTCATATGCCGCTATCATATATTTCATGTACAGATGCTAATTTCATACAGTGCGCATGAATATTTAATCATTTGCTTTTAATTTTCCTACCAGCATGAAACCACAGATAAGAACTTGTCACCGGATGGACAATATGTACCTCGAATCATGTTTGTGGGTATGCAACATATATATTTGATTCTTTAATAATGCAGCCTCCTTGCAACAGTATGCAAGTGGTATAGGACTTTATCCCTCATGATTTACAGGATATGTAACAGTTTTGTTTATTAATTTTTGAGCTAGCATCAATGATGGATTTACCATTGGGCCAATTGTTCCCTAGCCCCAGGACCAAGTTCAGAAAGACCCCATTTGATTATGGGGGGCCCAAGAGACTCTGGGAGTTATAGTTCCTTGGCCAGCTCCCTGCCCAGATAGCAGGCCCTGGAACAGGGAAAGGACTACATTTCCCAACATTCCCTTGGCCGTTTGCAATTGGAAAGGGAGGAGAAAGAGGAGGGAGTGGGAAGCTGAGTCATGCTGTGAATGATGAACTGGCTGACAGAACAGGCTGGTGCTATGAAGGGGAAACACATGGGGACAAGGAGTAGGCAGCTGTGACCAAGATCTCATTCTCTGAATCCTTCCCCAGACAGGATTAGGGGTGCTAGTGACCTCAGTTCACTGCCCCCAAAGAAGGAATTGGGTGGACTAAGCGATCAATGCATCTCCCTCTGAAGCCTAGCAAGGGAGGTATGTGGACCCCACCAGAAGAGGTTAACATAATAAGTAAGGGTATGTCTACACTACAAAGATAATTCGAACTAACGGACGTTAGTTCAAATTAACTTTGATAGGCACTACACTAGCGCTCCGCTAGTTCGAACTTAATTCGAACTAGCGGAGCGCTTAGTTCGAACTAGGTAAACCTCATTCTATGAGGAATGAGCCTAGTTCGAACTTACTAGTTCGAATTAAGGGGTGTGTAGCCCCTTAATTCAAACTAGTGGGAGGCTAGCCCTCCCCAGGTTTCCCTGGTGGCCACTCTGGCCAACACCAGGGAAACTCTATTGCCCCCCTCCCGGCCCCGGATCCCTTAAAGGTGCACGGGCTGGCAACGATGCCCGTGCCAGGTGCACGCCTGCCAGTACCCAGCTAGCAGACCCTGCACCTGGCACGTCTCGAGCCAGCCACCCCAT